GTGACGAGCCGTTCTTCTACCCATTCCCTTCGGTGAGTGGTCCCCAGTATTGGAATCAGCCGATATTGGTTCTCCCTGATTTGCAATAGGTCCAGACCAGACTATTTAAACAGGTTTAGAGGTGCGTAGTATTAAAAATATCCTTAAGAAACACTGAGGTAGACTGCACCAGAACAGGACAAAAAGAATCCCACCGCATCCACCTGCCAAGATTTTACGGATACAAATTTACATGTTCTGTGTGTTTAAGAAAACAAGTTGTTTGTTAGGTTATTTTTTTTTTACAGTGTTTTATATATTAAAATAAATAAAAAAATTCTAATAAGAAAAACTTCTCTTCCTTAGAAAAGTATGAGAATGTCTTCTTTCCTGCAGTGTAGTATAGAGCTGCGAAACAGTTACTACTTTGTAAAGCAGAAGAAATGTAAACGAGGCCTTTGAAATCGAAGGTTCTTACCCATGTCTGGACTATTTTCCGTCTAAATTGTGAGCAACCTGCACCCTCCACCTTTGTCCGAACCGACCAGATTCAACCAGTGCAAAGGGCCGAGGACTCGTGGTGGTGCACAGAGTCCGTCACCCTCCCCGGCTGCGGCACCGACTGGAGTAGCTGCGGCGCGGCGGACCGGCGGCGGGTCAAGGAGGTGGTTTTTTTTTGCCCCTTCCATCGGTTACGGGGAGAAACCAGCAGCACCGCCCGGGCTGGAACACAAAGCCACACACCAGCGTGGCACCCCACTCGCACCGAGTCAGGAGAACCTCGTTTTCTCCTGGCAGAGCACACGAACGGGCTCTTGGGCTTCTCCAGGAGGAGAAGTGGAGGACTGAGCATCTCTCCCCCCTTTTAAAACCACCTCCTGTACGACAAGGGCCTGCAACATCGATCATCTTCATTTCTTGCTTTAGCACTTCTCCCTGCCAGCACACTCCCTCACCGCTACGAGACACGTTTAATTTCACAATTATTTTCTAACATCTTGTGCTAATCAGCTCTGTCCTTTATGCAAACAGCAGCAAAACAAAGCACAGTCCAGGAGACGAAAGTCGACATCCTGAAGAGCTGAAAGCAGTGGCTAACGCACGCGTCCCGGGAAGGGCGCAGGACGCAGCGCAGGGATCTCGGGAAAACACCGAGGGCCTGCAGGCAGCACGAGGCCAGACGCCCGGGCAGCAGCAGACAGGCAGCGGGTAGCTGACCACAGTCACATTCAGCTTCTGCTTCATGTGCAGAGCCAAGAGCCTTGTGCTCTCCCCCTTCCGATCGGCTTTAGCGTCTCTTTTTTCATTTTTTCTTGCTCGTCCTCTCTCGCCAGCTGCTCCTGCAGCACAGAAGGCAAAGCGAGGGACACGGGGGCCGAGGAGCAACAGCACTCGCGACCGGGACGTTCTGGTGTCCTTCAGCCCCCAAGAACCACATGAAGTCCCAATGACTTTATCTCAGGGCTTCGGCTGGAGCCAGCTGACTGCATTGTATAAATCATGAAACTGTATTAGAAAGCCTTGTCAAGTATAAACTTAACATGTGCTTCATAGCTCCTAAAAGGGTAATCGGCTAAAATTAGTTCATTCTGAAATCTTTGGACCACTTTAAGACCAAACAATTCCCCAAATTCTCCCCTCCCCGAAAGAATCATAAAACAGTCAATAATTTATATGAAGTTAAAACTCAAACTAAAGACATTTTTAAATATGTTACAACAAACAATATATATACTCAATGCTGTAAGGACAGAAAACTCCGTTATCTCAGGTCAGGGGACTCCTACTTCGTTTGGTCTTGAAAGTACCCACAAATCTCAGATTTCTGCTCCTTTGGCTCCCAGCACATTTTCCTCATTTGATAATGAGAGAAAACCTACTCCCAAGAGTCCTTAGTATAAAAATAATCTGTTTAGGATTCAGTCTCTCCAGGGAAACGGGGGGAAAAAAAGATAAGTACACACTTCCGAGAAGAGGAAACCTTCTGTGAGAACATATAAAACTTATGTACAAAAACCAGAAGTGTACATTTTGCTATACATATACACCCCACATAGATATACTGCACACACGCACACACACACGCACCCCTGGGGTTTCACCCATTTCAAAAGTACGAAAGCAGCAGCTATTGGTCAATCTGAGGATCTGGCGCGTCCGACTGATGTGTTGAATCCTTCAGCTGCAGTGAAGAGTTTTGCCTGAAAGCCTGGAATTCTACTGGAAATGCTTTTGTCCTGCAGAAGTTTTGTTCCGCACCGTTACGCTGTAGCTCAGACACCAGCAAATTTCACGTTTTCTGTTGGCAACCGCGGATGCTCCTCCTTCGGTTTAACTTACACAGTCGCTTCCTGTTTTGAAACCATGGTTACAGGAGGGACAGCAGCCATGGAAACCTCTTCCATTTATGTTCACAGATAAGTCCACTGACAACCAGTCAACTTGGCAAAAAAAAAAAAAAAGTATTAATCATAAGATGGTTAAAAATCTGAAGAGTTTGTAGATGTGTGTCATACACTGTGGCAGCAACAACAAGAGTCCTGAGATTTGTGGAGGGGGAAAAAAAGCAAGACACAACCCTTGGGCCAAACAGGAAGCGTTAGGAAGGACTTGACCTGGGCATGGAGAGAATCCGCCCGTTTTTCTTGCCACCGTTCATGTGAGTGTAAGGTATGTGCTCTTCATAGTTCCCCTTGAGGGCCATGGAGGGGCCATTGTCCCGCCCCAGGACTTTGTCCCTCTGCGAGTACGAGGAGGGGTCGAGGGGAATGCTCTCCATGTTCTCAAAGTCCATCTCGTACTCCTCCGTTTCCAGAGGTTTGTTCTCCTCGCTGTAGAAGAACGAGACCTCCTGGAAGCTGGGGTGCAAGTCCTCCTTCAGCATCTCGATGATCTCGATGAAGGTGGGGCGCATTTTCGGGTTGTACTGCCAACACATCTGCATCAGGCTGTGCCTAGAGTGGGACAAACAAGAGTCAGGGGCAGGAAGGAACAGCTTCACGCGGGCAGGGCTGGCACAGACCAAGACTGGTCCACGTCAGACCACCCACCGCACACGCTACTCCTCCGACACTCCAGCGGAATTGTTTGTTCTCTTTCCAGGCTCCGTATTTGCCTGTAGATCCTGACGCTCCTTTCTCTCTATTTCTGTCTAGATCAAAAATTCCTTCCAATTCCTTCAATTGTTCTTAACTCGGCTTCCGAAGGAAGCAGGGCTGCAGTTCACATACTCTACGTACGTGCACACGCACTTATAGCCGGGTCGCAATTTTTTAATTAATTCCATTTTAATTTTAACTCAGCCTGAAAGATAACAAAGCTCCTCAAACTTCAAGGAAAACAGGAGGCTGTGCAGAGGACAGAGGTCCTGTAAACATCCCCCCCAGAAGAAAGGCTGCGGCAAGAGGTCACATGTTATCAGACACCGCGGAGAGAGAACTCACAAGTACAAATAACATTTCAAACTGGAGTTTGTAACTGGCCATGAGAGACAAACGTCCAGGCCAGCAGGCTTTTTTCGTAAGGACACTCAGAAAACATGTTTATTTTTTGACCCTGGAAGTGCTGTTGTGGCCAGAAGTGAACTGGGTGAGAGGTTCCCAGGTTGCCCCTCATCGCTGTACGTGGCTAAAGCGGCAGCTCCTGGCACTTCTGTCAAAATTCCCTGGCTCAGGTTAAACACTTAGTTACAGGATTTTTTTTAATTACTCTGAGTGAAGCAGCTTAGGGAGCATCTGGGGGTGCAGCCGCGCCGGCAGAGCTGGGGACGCAGCAAGCTCCAGACAGCAAATGTCACGAGCGGCTGCAGAGAATAACCCTTCACCCCGGCGCGGGAGAACGTCTGGCCTCAGTCTGTAATCTCTGCCAGGTGTTTTGCGCTGTCTCCACGCAGTGCCCTCTCCTCTCCCTAACCCTGCAGGCAGCCTGGTGCTTGAAGTGAGGCAACGAGTCTGCAGCAGAAATGAAAATGCCTCGGACACGATAAACAGCTCGTGGCTCAGCACAGCGTCCCCCTGCCTCTCCCTCCTCGTTAGCCAGAAATTGGATTTTTGAAAATCAGTGGTAAAAGGTCGCTGTAATTCTCAAGACTATTTACGTAGCAAGAGAGATGAATGACAGAGAACCTCCGCGGACCCCGCATTAACGAGCTGCTCTCCAGTCTCATGGGTGCCTACGGTGGCCAGGCTTTGCCACGTGGCATAAGCCAACTGCCATCCACTTCTCTGGAGTGGAGGAAAAACATTTTGTTTGGGCAATTGACACAGTGCTTAATCATATTTTAAGCTTTTCCTGTCCTTTGTACTTCCTCCTCTGGAATCTGTACTCACGATGGGAGGGCCGGGTTGGCTGAATTCCCCCCAGTGAAACAGGTTGGCTCGGGTCGCTAACTCCTGGATCACTAGGGATGCACCGGTTGAATTTCTGTGAGAGGTGGCTCACTGTACTCTGTTTTCTTCCCCCCCAGCAGAGGAGGGTTCAGAGGTGCCGCCTTGGCTGGCTGCACTAAGGAATGGACCCCGCTTGACTACTCACAGCCTCTCCGGGCAGTTGTCCGGCTGATCCAGGTATCCTCCGTCCATGACAAACTTCAGCACCTGTTCGTTGGAGAGTCCCTGGTAGGGCTGCTCCGCTAAACTGCTGATCTCCCAGAGGACAACACCGAACGACCTGAGGGAGAGAGAAGACTCCTGGTGAGAATAAACCATCCCGGAGACCTACAAGTGACAGTCTCATTTTGGAGAATACATACTTTAAAAGAACGCGACCATATTTCTAAGAAGAGGGTTTCAAGCCAATTTTTTTTTTTTTGTCTGTACCCTGAAGAAGAAGTCAGCAACTCGCAGTTTAAAGCACGTGTGTGACAGCAGAGAGCTCCTGAGCGAGCATCCAGCTGGGGCCGCAGAGCACAACTTACCACACATCGGAATAAGCCGTGAAAACCCCGTCCTTCAATGACTCGGGTGCCATCCACCGCACCGGCAGCAGTCCTTTGCCTCCTTTACGGTAATAATCCGTCTCGTAGATATCTCTGGTCATGCCAAAGTCTGAGAAAGCAATTGGGGTGTGTTAAATGTCTCTCCTTCCCGGCTCCTTTCACTGTGCAACATCTCCAGACGCGTGTTTCCCTCCTCGGACGCCAGGCTGTTTTCACACACCCCGTGAGCCTCCTACGGCCCAACTCGCAGTCATTTGTCACCTTGTGATTAACAATCAAAACATTTGCCTTTTCCCTACGTGTTTTCTACAGAGCCGTGACAGAGACTCCAGAATTAAAATTTTTTCTGACAGCTTCTATTCTAAACGCTATTTTTATTCATCCCCTTTAAGTCAAACAGAACTCTCCTTGCCCTGAAATCCCCCTGCCTTGGCTTCCAGTTCAAAGAGGTCTGAAAAACCACTGTGCTGTGGAGTTTTGGTTTATTTTAAAACATTATATTTATTTATTCCTAAAAGGGTTTGGGTTCTTGTGGAAGATAAATGACTTTTAAAAGGCACCTGACCTAATGACAGGATTATCAACGCTTGGTTTATTGTACCCAACACCTTCTTTGTCATAATTCTCCTGAAAGCAAAGACCAGTGAGATAACGCCGGGCAGCTCAGGCTGGAAAGGCAATAAACTTTTTGGACAGAGGTTTGAGAACAGAGAAGGCGAGAAAAGCTCCTCTGGCTCTAAGGGAGATTATTTTCTTACTCAGGTCCATACAGTTCTCTCCCAGGAAAGGAAAGAGGGAAGTTTGCTGCGTTTCTGGAGGCAGCCAGTGAACATCGCCCGCGTTTGCCCCATTGGTCTTGGGCTTCGTATATTTGCCTCTACAGCAAACACGACCCACAGAAATATCTTCTGATCTCACACTACATACCTCCGATTTTTACAGTGAAGTCTTCTGCAACCATACAGTTCCGAGCTGCGAGATCTCTGTGAACAAACTTCTTGGCGTTCAGATAGGCCATGCCGTCGGCGATCTCCGCAGCCATCTGGATCATTTCCCTCAGCGTCGGCGGTGGACGACCAGGGTTGTTCTACAATAAACAGACAAGTATTAAAAACCAAATCAAGTTCCTCTGGTGCACAACAGACTCCCTCCCTCCTGTCTTTACCTCCGCATCAGGTCTCAGAGAGCGAAGGTAACTTTTCAAATCTCCGTGTGCCATTAACTCCATGACCACCAGAGTGGGTTGTCCTTTCGAGACCACCCCAAGGAGGCGAACCTGGAAAAAAAGTGAGAAATTCCCTCAAGGTTGTGTCCAAACACACTGGGCAGAGGCAGCTATGAAAAGAGAAGGATGCCGCAAAGGCAACACCCCGAACCAGAGCTCCCAACAGCCCCACAAAGCCCCGTCGTGCTGAGAAGTTTTGAAAGATGCATTTTACAGAATACAACATGGAAAAATCCCAGCTCTTTCGGATCAACCGCCCCTGCAGAAGCTTTTGTAAGCTGAACATCCAGCCTGGAGAGCACTAAGGAGCTCCTGGTGATGGGACGGGGCTTGGTAACCGCGGGAGGCACCCAGTGCCGCTTACCACGTGATGGCAGCTGAACCCTTTCATCACAGAAGCTTCATTTAAGAACTCGATGCGCTCGCGGAGGCTGGCCGATTCGTTCACCGTTTTCACAGCCACGCGGGTCTCCGGCTCGCCCTTCACTATGTCCTTGGCGATCCCCTCGTACACCATGCCGAAGGAGCCCTGTCCCAGCTCTCGCAGGAGAGTGATCTTGTCTCGTGGAACCTCCCATTCGTCGGGGACGTAGACTGTTGAGCAGAGGGAAACGGTTCTGAATTGAGCAGGTATCTTTTGAAAGCATTTCTGTAGCAGCCTTGTGGAGCACTGCCACAGGATACTATGGGTATAAATTTAAAAAAAAGGACTAGAAAAGCTCCATAAAGACAACACCAGTCCCACACTGCTGCACTGCCTGAATGACCAGCCAAGAAATGAGGCCCCGAAGAAAGCCCTCACTGCCCTCACCATCGCTGGCGCTGATATATTCAGGGTTAGAGGAGGCGTAGAGCGGTCCAGTCGGTCCTTCGGTTTGTCTGGAAGAGAGACACAAATAATTCATCACATCTGCAGCCTCTGACACAAGAGCTGAAGGCAGTTTGATCAATTCTCAAAGCATGCAGCAAATAAAAACTGTCCCCATCTCCAAAGGCACAAAACATTTCCTAAACTGAATTAATGTTGCAATCATTATCTAAATTAGAAAACAAACACGTAACTTCCAACTAATAAAACAAATTCTTTGGATATAAGTTTTGCTTCTTCTGGTGAAAACAACATAAAATTGCACTCACCTCTTTTTCACAAGCACGTAAGCAGCTCCAATAATTCCAGCAATTATAATGGCAAAAATAATTGGAACAATTATAACCGCAATATTAGGTGGAGCATTCACTAAGAGAGAAAGAGAGAGCTGGAGGTATTATACAGGTCCAAATCCATGTTTTTCCTCAATAAAATCTCCCCCTTGAATAAATTGGAACAAATATGAAACTAGAGGCTATTTCAGATACCGAACGCGGGGCTGGTCAGAAACTGCTTTTCAACAGCTACATGAAGAAAATTCACACACTTCTAAGTAATTTCAATTTTTTGAAAATAAATGTATTGGTAAATATTTTATGACCCCCTACAGTTCCCTGGGCTCTGGTTGCTAAACCCCCATCTTCCAAAAATGACCTGGGTTTGTATCAGGAATTAAATTCTGGGGAAAAAAAAAAAGAACTCACAATAATCAGCCACATAGAAATAGGTCGGTTCTGTCCACGAGCCGTTTCCAGCCAGCGATGTAGCTCGTATGCGGACACTGTAGTTTCCAGGCTGCAGTCCCCGGAGCTTACAGCCCTGCTCGCTGGCAAAATGCTTCCGGGAAACGCAGAAGTGTGCTTCCTGCAGGAGGAGGGAAGGGGAAGGCTGCGTGACTCTACCTCCGCAACAACCCAGAGCTCTGGAACGGCACACGAGGGTTTCACCTCCCCTCCCTGCCTGGCAAACGTACACAAACGGGGCTTTCACATGCTCAGGTCTTTTCCAGCCAAGCGGTTTGTCCTGGATTTGCATTTTACAGTTTGGCAGTTCAGGTTACAGGGAGCAGATGCCATTTGCTGGATGAGAGCTCAGCCCTGAAACCGGAGCTGGGCTGCCCACCCTCCTGCCCTGGCACCGGCGTTCTGCACGGGCAGCGGGGCTGCCCACAAGCTCCTGGCTGCTCAACGCTTTCTGAATTTCTCCCAGCAACTCAAATTTGGATGTATGTTTTCTGTCCTTCTGGGAAATAAAATTCCTAAAAAAACTCCATGCAAAACGTTGGCCAATTAGACACGCTCATGTGGCAGACACGCACCACGGAGGCAGACGGTTATTTCTCCGTGTCACCACGGACAAAATTCCAGAGGGTACGAATTCAGTAGTGACGTTTCATGTCACATTGGTTTGTGCACAAGGAAACCAGCCAGGACAGACGCCAAACGCAGGAGGACTGGACAGCCCTGGCCTCCCAGGCAGAGCTGCCTCTCCAGCCGTGCTGCGGTAAGGGACAAGCAGAAATTCTCACCTCTGTCTCCCCGAGACGTCCGTAATTCACTTCGTACAGCACAATGAGACCGTTCGGCTCCTTCGGTTCCTGCCACATCAAATGCACCGTGTTTTTTTCAACCAGTTCGTGGGTCACTGGACCGACGATGTCATCAGCCTTAGCTAGAACCAAGGTCATGATTAATTACAGTTTTATTTCATGTCTTCAGCAACATACAAAACCACCAATACTCCCTCCATCATCCTTTCCCACCAGGACATAAATGTTCTACACGATGTTTCTGCATTGCAGCTGGCTCCCAGAGCAAAAGCAGCATTTTGTGAACAGCCATCAACCCAAAGCACAGCTCAGGAAGATAATTACCCTCGGGCATGGTGCGGGCACTGACGTAAGCTGCAACACTGCAGCGGGATTCCTGAGCATCGTGGTTACAAGCGTGGAGCTCAATGCGATAGCCGGTGAAATGCCGCAGGCCTGAGATAACCAAGGACTCCTTCGACTTCACTTTTTCGAAAGGTTTCTGTTCCTCCGCGTTCTCGGACGCTGCTGCAGAATTGTTTGGAGAGGACGCGAGGGTGGGTATCACCACGGTGGCGTTTGCCACAGAGCCCAGGTCTCTCCGTTTTCTTGATGGCCTATGAAATAATACCGGTCACAATGTTATAGTCAGTGTAAACCCATCCACCTGGAAAGGAAGAGTTAAAATGGGAGAGCTCGGAGTGCTACTGAAAACTCAAACTCAAGGCTCGTATTTGCAATGCAACAAAGAAATTCAGGACTTGAACAATTTTTTTTTAAAAGCAATCTGTCTTTAGAGCACATGGCTTTTGAAAATTATGTCTCCCCGAGCCTCTTCCCCTGCACAGCCTCATCCAGGGAAAACAAATAAAAATAAAGAAATCCAAGCCGAAAGTGTTTGCGTGAGAATTCAAGTTCTCGATCCTGTGAGCTGCACGGAGCTTCACCAGGTTGCCCGGTGGATGTCTGGCAGAGCGTTGCAATGCTTCGGAGTTCACCTCCTGCGTGTTCCAGCAAATGAGGTCACCCCACAGCCCCCAGACGATGACCTCGGACATTCCCCGTATCCCAAGTGTCACAAACTTGTGTTTACAAAGCGTAAAGCAGTTTCACAGCTCGCGGGGATACATCTGCCACTCTGACCCCTACGGCTGAATCTCGACAGAGAGATGGACAACTTTCACCTTTTTCCGAGACCAACCTCTTATTTTCAACAGACACATTTAAACCTCACAGATTCAGACTATATATTAATTGTGCAGCTTTATTAACCAAATATTGCCTCTCGAATCATCGCGCTTCAGTCTGAAAATCAATTTTTTTGCAGTTGTAAAAACAGAGCTGGCAGTGGGACCCTGTCACCTCCCCTGCTTGCAAGTGAGAAAACTCTCAAGTCAGATTTTGTCAGTAAAGAAACAGCATTAATTCACCAGAATTAAGAACCATTCACAAATTTAATTTTCTTGGGGAAAAAAAACAAACAGGAACGAGTACCAAACCAAAACTCCTCATTCCAACACTTTGGATCCTGCCAGATGTTGGCCACGAGGAATTCCAGGTTGGGACGGAACCAAGGTGGTGAATCAGTGACAGGATCCAGTGACACAAAGGAACTGACGCCGTTTGAAAAGCAGAGCACGTATTCTAAGGGGACGACGATCTTTTTTGGTGTGTGCATGTGTGTGCGGCTATTAAAGGCTACAAAGAGCGACCTGAACTGAACCCGCGCTTGAGGCATCTCCAGTCTCTAAAAATGTAACGAGCTGCTGGAGCAGATCTTTGCTGCTGAACTGCACTTTCCACGGCCACCCTCAGAGCGGGCAAATCATCGGCCAAGTGCAGCCACCACGGGGCACTGCGCAGACCAGGTCTTTGTCCGCAGCCCCCAGCTCCGTCCCCTGGGGATACTTCTCCTCCAAGAGCAAACGCAACCAGCTGAAAGCAGAGTTTAAGATCTCCTCCAACTCAACTCCAGGTTACACACACCAACCGCAGCACACTCACCCACCTGATGAAAAACCAGGATGCCGAACGGCAGGCTCAGCAGAGCACATTCCAGTTTGTAGTTTTTTCTTTCTCTAATTACTAATTAACTCATTTTGGAGCTGCTGTTATCTTGGCCGGCGCATTGTTCTGAGCAGTGTCCCCCAACAATGGGGCAGAGTTCAGAGAGCCGGCTCTGGGTCATGCCACCTCCCTCCTCTGGAAGGATTCTTTACCGTCCGCCAGAATCTTGTTTGGACTTAAAAGCAAAGCCACACACCACCGTGGGCAAAGTGTGGATTCAGCTGTTCCTCGTGTTCAGAAGAATTTTGTTTTTCACAAGTAAAACAGTAATTTGACCACTGATGCAACACAGAATAAACGCAAGAACAACTTCTCCCTTCTCGAGTAACAGAAAGCAAGAAAAACTTTGGGAGCTTAAGCCCTGATCTCCCCATATTTGTTATCCAGGATTTGCAGCAATTTCCTTGCCAAATTCTCTGTATTTTCAAACATCTCATGCCTTCCCCTGGCTGTTCCCGTGCAGGTTTCATTGTGGCCATTTCAGCAGCTCCAGTGACCTTCCCTGTGACGCTCTCGGACCCAGGTTCCTCCTCCTCCTGGCAGGTGCCAGGGCTCTCAGCTGGAGGGACGGATGGGACAACTCATCACACGCAATACGCCCTTTGCTGGGGATTTTAGAAATACCTTTGCTAGCCTAAGCTGAGCTTTTCCACACTCCTGAAACCAGCTGAGGAACAGCTGGCCTGTCCCCGCCTTGGACTGGCAAAAGCATTGATGTATTTGTACAGAATTGGATTGAATGGGGAAACCAAGGGAAAAAAAGTTAATTTTAACGTGAATCATATCCCAGCTCTTGCTCACACTGTAACCCCCTGATATTTGTAACGGCACAAGTGTGTGTGACAGAGAGAGGACAGAGAACCGTCAGACTGCTTTTCCTGATGGCGGAGAGTTTTCATGGAACTAACCCTGAGTAGCAGCCATTTAGCTCCCCCTCTGCCTCTCAGGACTTTTCTTACTTTTGAAATCTTTCACAGAATCACGGAGCGGTTGAGGTTGGACCTCTGAAGATTGTCCAACCCCAGGGGCAGCTGGAGCAGGTTGCTCAGGACCACCAACATCGCCGAGGCTGGAGACTCCACAGCCTCCCTGGGCAGCGTGTTCCAGCGTGCGACCGCCCCTGTGCTCCGATCTGTGCCAAACTCCTTCCAAGAGCAAATAACACAGGGAAGAAGAAACAAAGCACCAGCTGCTGATGGCCACCTTGTTCAGCTGCAAAGGGAGGTGACAAAGCACGTGGTGCAGACACCCGCTGGCTCTGAGCGGGAAGGTGGGTATGGCAAGAAGCATTTAGAAACTTCTCGTTTGCCTTGCCAGCGCCAGAGCAGATGAACCCACGAGACTCAGGACAGAATCTGCTGGAGTTTCTGACCAACCACACTGGTGGGGAAGGAACGGCTGCTGTGGGTCCAGAGGGGTTCTCAGCAGGTCGGGTGAGATCAGACCCGGACCAAGGCAGAGCACGGCGGATCCGCGGCACAGCCTCGTTCGGACGGGACACTGCACAGGGGTCAGAGCTGGGAACAGGACGGGAGGAGAAAAATGGTACATGGGAAACAAGGAGATGAGATGCCAGGGGAGCAACTTCTCAGCTGCTTTGTCTTCTGCACCCCTGCCATCTGCTGTTCCCTGCCGGCCTCATCTGTGAGATTCCTCCCTGGGACTGGCAGAAAGCTTCTTAACTCAAGGGGAGCCCACACAGCACCTCGGGAGAGGTCCAGGAACTATCGGGAGCCACAGAAAAAGCACCTGAAGTAACACACACTTCTTGTTCATTCGCCAGGCTCTGGCCAGGCTGCCCCACGAGCAGGCAATAGGCAGAGTAATGACAGGAAAACAAATTCTAATTTACGTTGCCTGTCAGAAAAGACAAGCAGGATGGATGCCCCAGGAAGTTGTCTTCACTGCTGACCTGTAAGGGCAAAAGGGGCGTATGGAAAGGATCAGTGAGCCCAGGAAAGGGCAGATTTCTTCCTTAGCAGGCTGACAAGGTGGCACATCCTGGTGATTGGTTTCTTCCTAAAATACATACCCCAGACACTGGCCTGAGAAGCATCCTGGGCTGGCTGCACAACAAAATCGAAAAGAAAAAAAAAAAAGAAAAAAAGAAAAGAAATCAGGTTGTCAGAATTGTCTGCCTACACCAAGAGGAGTCTGGCTTTTGTACATGGCTTGGTTCTCCCCTGCCTTTGAGCATGTTGTGTCCTGGCATCGATCTGCACACTGAAACTTGTCCTGATCAGCACCAACGGCAAAGAAACAGCACAAGGAGTGACTCTGGACAAGCCTCCAGGTGACAACTGCAGGGATTGAACCAGGCTCGCAGAGGAGAGACACTAACACACTCAACAGTAAAAAATGTTCTGCGCAGTAACGTCGCTTTTGTCAAGCAGCTGAAAAGAAATGTTTATTAGCTAAGAGCAGTAAGCAGAGAATAAATGTAGAGCACAAAATGCGTGACAGCGCAGAGGGTAAATCACTGCAGGCTCGAACCTGGTTCCCAGCGTTGCACATGAAGTGTGAAGACATCCAACACCCCTTAATGTGACACCGCGTGTGCCATTCAAAACAGGACGTTCACCACCCACAGCAGTCGCATTCCTCATGGTATTGGAGGTATTTCCCAGACTAAGTGCAAGGAAGACCGCAAACACCGTGCTAAAGGACAAGGCTGTGGCGTGGTAACCTTCCTTTTTTTTTTCCTTTCTTTTCAACTGGATGAAAAGCTAGACCACAAAATTTGAGGACAGAAAAAAAAAACCCTAGCTATTTTTGGCATCCTACAAGTTTAAATGAGCTGCAGGTGTTTAGCTATTTGTTAAGGATTCTCACTTTATTCTGAAGCTGAGGGGAATTCAGAGAAATAAGAGCAGAATCTCCCAAAGCTGCAGGAACATCAGCTGCAGGCGCTCAGCTCCCAGCAATCTCCAACACTCGCGTTCAGCTGGACTGGACAGTCTCCTGGAAGCCCAGAGAGACCGGCAACATGGCCATGTCCAGCCCAATATTTTTATTTAGTAATAATTAACCTCTCCCTAGCCCTGACAGCCTGGAAAATATTCTTTGATATTCGTACCTGGGGACGAAAACCTCATTGTGAAGATAGTTCTCAAATGTCTTGCGGAAAGCAGACTCTTCCAGCTCCTTTTGTATCTGAGAGTCGGTTTTAGGACAGGAACAGCACTCTCCGCTGACATCCTCATTTTCACTTTGATTATACTTCTGAGGGTCTTCAGATTCAAAAGGAGGAGACCACGTCCTTGAGGGCAGTTTTAATCCTGTGGACAAAACAATTTTAATATCCTTCATCCTTGGCATTGCAGGAGCAAATGTTCGATCCTACAAAGATCCCAAACTAGCATGCCCAAGTTTCACAGCACATTCGGGCATCCTGAGCTTTCATACCCGGGGCCGGGCAGCTTTCCCTCTCCTCTGACAGGCCTTTGAGTCAGAGCTGTGCTGGGTTTGAAATGCAGCTCAGATCGGCTGTAGTCAGAGTTCTACCCCAGCTCAGCTCAGTTCAGTGACACAGGGCAGCAGGTGAGATTTTGGGAGTTCTTCGTAAAACTCTGTTCCGAAAGAATTCCAAAAGAGGCGCAGGATGCTTTCGAAAACTCACTTGGCAGCTGATCTCCAGCAGCACTGACATTTTTTCCTTACTATCTCCATGGCTGTTATTAAACTTACTGCTCAGTTTAAAAGGAACAAGTGCAGAAGAGAGATCCCCAAAGGAAAAGTTATTGGATTACTTTGTAAAAAAAAAGTTTTTGGAGAGCTTTTGCACACAATTTGTCAGTAGCACCGAAGGTATAATGTAAGTGAGCCGTGGGAGAATGCAGCTGCATCTCAGCTTGTTTCTTGAACAAGTGTTGGAAACAGCAAAACGAGGCACCCAGAGCACCTCCAAGGGGTGTGAAAACTCTCCAGTCAGTTCTGAGGAAGCTTGAAAGAAAGACACAGTGAGAGCCACAGACCCACCTTTCAAGCAGTAATCGAGTTCATACAGCTCGCTGTCCTCCGCCTGCTGCTGCCAGAACACCAGGTAGTGCGTGATGTTCCCGTTGGGCTCGGAGGGCGGCTTCCACTTCAGAATGATTTGGGACGAAGAGTTGGAAACAGATATCGGATCTAACGGGACCGAGGGAACTGCAGGGGTGGGAAAAGAGCCAGAGGTCACTTCCACTGCTCTGCGAGAGCTCCACGGAACACACGCAGGCACGTTTCCATTTCCACGGGAATACGCTGGGGTCTCCGTAGGGGGTCCACTGCCACCCCACAGCCCCGCAGAAGGACACACCAGCGTGCACACAAGCTCTTCCAGGTGGCCACAAAAGCCTGATGGAAGAGGTGCACATTGGCACCACCTCCCCATGCAGGGAAGCACACATCCTCCCCTCTGTTCAGGAATACCCTCCGACCAAAGCAGAGCAGCGACGGCAGCGGAAAGTTTCACGGAGATGGGACTATCACGACTACCATGCAGATGATGATTTAGGTTTATTTTTCTTTTTCACTTGCAAGACAACATTAATTCCATGGTACTGACCAGTGGCGTTGGTCTGGACGTAGATGATTTCACTCTTTGCACCGTACGTTCTTCGTTCGTCTGAGAAGGTGACCAGAGTTTTCACAAAGACCGCGTACTGCGTCCAGGGCTTCAAGCCCCGCAGAAGCCAGCCTGGCTGGGCCTGGGCTTTGGGCTCGTTTGACCGTGGGGGTGGGTCAACATCCACAACTGTCCAGCTGTTTGACCCACAGGCGTCTTGGCCATCGAACTCTGTCACATTTTGGTATGGACTTTAGAAAAAAAAAAAAAAGAAAAAGAAAAGACTCAAATTAATACAATACAAATTCAAGCTTTTAAAACCAAAAAACCAACATTTCTAAAGACATCCCTGAAAGTTATAATCCTTCACCCTTTGGAGAAAGTGTAACTGTCCCATCGGATGTATTCTGAAAGTGAAGCGTAGGGAGCTTTGCAACCCAGCCTCCCACCAGCATCACAGCCCAGGTACTGTTCCACAGATGAACCCAACAACTCAATCCAGGCTCGCTATTTTCCGCTTTATGGAAATCAGCCCAGTAACCTTGATTCTAAATGAATGTTTCCCACCTCAAAGGGAATAAAAGCCTCAGCACCCCATGGAGATAGCAGGGAGAGGATAAACTCCATGGTTAGAGTATGTATGTCTGGAATGGCTGGAACAACTAATGTTTGGATTGCTCTTAAATGAGGAATTTTGACTGTACACAACTCAGGTAAGTCAGGGATCTTCATGGACACTTTTATATAAAGTTAACATTGGAAATTTAAGTGTAGGAGCCAGAAAATCACAGAGACTAAATAGCTATGCCAGCTCTTCAATGCCGACTGCCCTTTGTGGAAGCCCAGTGTGGCTATTGTTCTGTAACCTAATGGTGGATCACTTACGCTTCTTTGTAAAAAAGCATAAATCCCAGGAGATCACGGAAATCGGGAGGCCAGTACGGCTCCCACTTCAACAGGATCTTGTCATGAGATGTTCTAATGGAAGAAAATTTCAACAATTCATTTTCACCTGTAACAAAAGAGAAGCGACAATAATTTTGTTAATGCTAAAAAAAAAAATTACTAAATTCTAGTAAGTGGGAAATGTAAAGGCAACGTATTTTAAAATCCATGACGATCTATATCGCTGAACCCAATAATGTGGTTTGCCTCTGCCTTCAAAGGGTGTGAATTCCCAGCCTTGGGTCCAGCAATGGGTGGAAATCCTGTTTCTGGGTGCATACTGTCACCTCATGACATGGGAAGAGAAGATGATGCCTGTTAATCAGGTACTCAGCAATAACACCAAGTCCCAGGCTGAACTGAGGTTTTGTTGTGCTGAACTCTTCAAAAAGACACAATACACCCAACCCTGAAAAGCTCACAGCTGAGCACACAAAGAGCAAACTTCTGAAGCCCAAAGCTGGCAAGGTGGGCTCTGGCCAGATGGAGAACCCCAAAGTGCTTTCACTCACGGCATATCGACAGTGTCGCTGCAGCGCACGAGCGAGTGGCAAGCCACGTGCCTGGTGAGTTACCAAAAGGACAAGGACAGTCCCTGGACACCACAGGCTAGGCTGGGAGAAATCAGAGAATGAGGTCGGCAAGGGAAAGGAAAATGAAGCAAATCTCGCTGTATTCTGAGACTTTCTTACATGAGGCCTGATCACCGTTCGTCTTGAGGGCGATGTCGTTCCTCTCCTGACGCCCCTTCGTCCCAGAGATCTCCTCCATCTTGTGGATTTCTGACAAACACAGTTTGGGATTATAATGGAAGAAGAGTTTGCCTCGTGCGATAGTGAGGTTGTGTTTACTCCAGTCCCAGAGCTGGCGAAGATTCTGGTTGTCCAAGGCATAAAATGAATAATTCCTGAAAGCAGAGAATGAAAACGTGGATTGGGAGAGGATCCACTGAAAACTCCTTTTTTCTCATGCACTAATCCAGACACCAAAGAAGAATGAATGCAAAAGATCTTCCCTGGCACGCCACAAGCCACAAGCCACAGGCAGAGGAACATTTAAAAATAACTTGGGAATTGTTTACCAATACAAACCACCCTGATAGCACCGGCACTCCTCACACTTCAAAGCATTAAAATAAAATATCTTTTGAAAGAACTCACCCAGCTTCTAGTGTTTCTCCTCTAATCAGATGTAGTTTACGAAAGAAAGAAAGAGAAACCAAGGCGTAAGACCGGCGAATTTTTAGGTAACCTGAGATTTCTTCTATCAAGCCGAGATTCGCTTCTAGCTCAGCTGCTATGTTATCTACAGAGAGGAAAACAGCGGCTTTAGTCTTCTGATATCACAGAGAGAAACACTGATACCAGAGCCCAAAAATATTAAATAGAACTGCTTTACACATATTCAGAAGACCTTACAAAACTCAGCAAAAAAACCCAAACGAACATCACAGGAGCCTTTGAGGTTATTTTTCTGAATCACTCGGCAGGTTCAGAGTGGTCAAAGCAAACAAGAGAAGCCCCAGCTCACGCACGGTGTCATGTTCACCGATGTGACATCCAGAGCTCCCTACCCCCTTACTCATGCAGAACTTACTTCCTCCGCGGATATTTATAACCAAGCTTCCATTAACAACCGTGCAGCCACGGAGCTCCTGTGCCGATGTCACCGAATCGATCGTCTTCTCCTTCCCGTAGTCGCAAACCTTGGGGCAGGGCCCTGCGCAGGGCGTACAGTGCAAGCTGAAATACAAGAGAGTCGGGAACGTAGACCTGATGCTCTTGCAGAACGTCACCTGGGGCGTCCCCAGCAGCTCTCAAAAGCAAAGGAATCAATTCAAAGCAACAGTGTCCTGACAATTTGCCGTGGGATTCACCTGCTGAGCGCAGCACACGGCTCTTTGGAACTCCAAATGATGGCTGATCATTCTTTCAATTGTCATTTCCACATTTCCAATGCTAATCACTCCATCCCTTCCTACACAACAGAACCCAGAATGATTTGGACTGTTTTGAGCAGCCCGTCCACCACGATGCTGCTCAGCGCCATACACGCCAGGGGCTTCAAAACCAAGAAACCCATGCCCCAGTCTCCATCCCAAGATCGTTAACCAAACACCTAACTGATGAGCGGAGAGCTGGCCATTCATCTGGGAGTCCTCTCATTAAGGACTGAAAGTAAATTTGCTTTAAAAAAAGGCAAGGGAGCACGAGCTTTGTGCTCTGGGGAAATATTTCTTAACAGGCAGCAGGATGATTGCTTGCTCTCGTCACAGCACCACAAGAACGTGTTCCCAACGAGTTCAGAGAAATCAACGCTGCAGGAAAAGCAGGGAGCGGTGGTGTGACCAGAACAAGCAGAGGAGAAAGGCGACGGCTGCTGTTACACAAGCGGCAGATCTGCGTTGGGGGATGCTAGTTCATTCTTTTGAAAAGCAAAACAGGAAATGGAATAAAAAGTCCTGTTAGGATGAATTCCCTGAAATTATTACGGCAGGATCAGGAAATGGAATAAAAAGTCCTGTTAGGACGAATTCCCTGAAATTATTACGGCAGGGGCAAATACATGCGAGTACAAAGCTACCAATACTTATAGGAAATCTGACTCATCGCAATATATAATGTTATTGTGGGACAAACAACAAAGTTTTCAGTGATAAACAACAGCTCAGCAACATAAATTATTTAATTCCTTTGTTGAAAAACCCTGGGAATGGTCCGACTGGCCGTTCCCTGCTTTGACTGGCGCTGCACTTGTTTGTCACATTGTCCGTTTATGCCTGGCACAGCTCGAACCTGCTCAATGAAAGTAATTACAGGGATGAGCGACAGATATTCTGAGAACGATCCACTGAAAATACGTTATGTTCTTCTCATTAGACACGACTTCTCCCTATTCTGCTGTCCAGCCTGAGCTCTGCGCGGGAGGGGAAGGCAGGCACAGCTGCTAAAGCCTCTCCGCTGCCCATCTCCCTCGTCCCACTCGACTGCAGAAAGACCCTGCGGCTTCAGAACGCTCCTCTTTCCTTCTCCTCTCTCTCTGCATTTCCCTTTCCCAATTTCTCCAAACTTAAGAGGAAACAGAGGAAGAACAAAGAGGTAGCTAGACCTGTCTGCTTTTAATGGCTTGAATCAGCAAGGAATTTGTTTGCAAATGGTATTAAAGCAGAGAGGTCATTGTCACAGACACTCCAACGCCAGAAACTTTTCTTGGTCTTGACATGGAACACAAACTCTCCGTCCAAGCGAGAGAAAAGCACAGTACAAAAACTCCTGCACGGCTTCTTTATCTGCAGACCCTTGTACTCACTTGCTGGAATTCATGATGTATCCCGACGGGCACTCGTGGACGCACTCGTTGTTGTGGATAACGTGACAGCCCGACTCCCTGGCGTTTTTGCATTTGTTGTGCAGTTCCTGGCAGAAGCCGAAGGTCACGCAACGCCAGCCCTCGAAGCGATAGTAACCGGGCGGGCAGGTGTCCACGCATTTGCCTTCAAGGTAGAAGTTGCGGCAAGCCACGCATTTTTCAGCGTTGTTCGGCTCCGTGCAGTCCCCGAGACACTCGCTGTGGCAGCACTGACCGTCGGAGGTGCAGCCCTGGGACTTGCAGGCGGGTGGACAAACTGCGGAGAGAAAAGACAAAAGGCAACGGAGCATCAGTTGACAATGTACCAACATGAGAGGCTTACCAGCAGCCACACTTCACCCTGCTCAGCTTGGTGACCTTCTTCTCTTGGTCCAGAGCTCCGAGGCTCCCAGCAGCGCTTTGGTGGCTCCAACTTTATTTCTGGTGCCCAGAAGAGATGCGACTCCTGCAGCGAGAGCTCTCCAGTCTGGGACGGCCAGATTCAGCCAGAAGATTATAGTTTCTTAGCTTAAGAAACTCAGTCTCCCACAGCAACGCTGCAAATAACGCACACCAACAGTACTTTCACGTAAGCCTCCAGCTTTATCGGGATTTGCCTCCTCTCTGTCAGCCTGTCCCCGCTTTCCCGGGAGGGAGCCTGCTGCCCTGGCACCCAGCAGAAGCTCTTTGGCGGCTCTCCCAGCAAGTCCAAAAAGAAGAAGGGCACCCACGAGCGTTATTGCTTGAGGTTTTTATGGTTTACTTTTTAATTACTCATTACTTAGCGCCTCACAATACTTTTAATGAGTGGTTTGGGCTTTGAAACAGAAACCGAGCAGCAGCGTAGCTCGGAGCAAAGACCATGACTAACGCTGAGCAAGGAGCTGGTGGGAGGCTGAGCAAACGCGGAGGAGCTCCGAAGGAAGGACGGTCCTGCCCCGCTGCCGCTCAGCACCTTCACATGCCGTCTTAACGATTCAAACGAGGCCAAACCAATTAAATCCAACTGCTTCATCCCAAACACGCCACAGAACTTGAAGTCAGAAGATGTAACACAGCTGAAATCACCACCACGGCTTTGACACAGACATTTCAAGAGCAGGAAAAAGGATGGGGGACGTGGGCCCGGATCTATCGGCACGGTAACTCCAGCCATTGGGATACAGCTGTGAGTCGCCACGAGGCAGATTGAGCCATCGCCTGCTTCCCACTGAGCAGGTCTGAGCGGCTTCTGGCGTCCCGGCCAAGCGCCCTTGGTGAGGAAGACGGCGATGAGTCCTCCCGGGGTCTGCGCTGGCCAGACCAGGGAACTTCACAGCAAACTCCCACCACCCGCCTCCAAACACCCCCAGCTCCCTGCCCACTGCCGAAGCAGGAAGGGCTTCAACTGGGGAGGTCCCAGCCACACCCATGTTCTGGGGCTGAAATGTTAATTTCTGGGTAACACGCGTGAGCAGCCCCACAGTGCAACGCGGGCGGGTTTGACTCAACTGCACCAGCCGCGTGTAGGACCCGCAGCACAGAGGGAAAGTCCCCCTTGGCCGCACCCCGCCCGGGCAGAAGGATTGCAGAATTACGGCGTTAAAGCCGTCAATGCCATCCTGGGAATACGCAGCTGTAGTTGGGATAGTGAAGAGGAAGCACCTCTGCTTTGTTCCAGCCTGACAAACCCTTTGAAGAAACACGGACAAAGCAGAAATTCTGTCACAAGGGCAATTCAATCTCAAATATCTGACTGCTTCCGCACCAGCGATTCCCTGCAGGAATTTTCGCTGTGCATCCCCCAAGATTCGTCTGCTAACAAGAAACACGGGAGTGTATTTCTAATTCATTTGCTTTTACACTGACCAGCTTTCTGCCCTTTCCAGCAATGGGTCTGATTCCATGAACCCGTCACAAACAGCAATTGCCTGAGATGCAGCAGCCCAGCAGTAGCAGAGGATACCCTGTGCTGGATTCAGCATAAAATGAGGAGCCTGTTTTGAAAGCGTGGTTATACATTCTTCACCAGGCCACAGATGGAGCACAGTTTAGCAACAGATGTCATTGCTGCAATTTATTAAAAATATTGGCAAGAGAAAAACACAGAGAGAAAATTCCAGAATTTAGTCCAAGACACTATCAAACTCACTCATCCCAGCCTACATCACCAATGTTTATGGAGGGGGGACAGCCTGGGCTGTTTCTCGCACACCTCCCCACGTTCCTGAGCGAGCACTGCCACACCGACGCCTTGCAAGGATTTCTACACCTGCTGGTACCAGCTCCCACCTCCCCGGAGCGGGGTCAGCATCCCGCTGGGACGTGAACCGCCACGGCAAACGCTTCAGGAGTGGTTTGTGCCAGCTGGAGGACGAGCGCTGGCAGCACGAGTCACTGCTCCCCACTGGCAATTCCTGCAAAGGGTGTTTTCCCGGGTCTGTCTCCTGCTTAAGAACCACAGAGTTTCAAATACTCAGAGGACAGCATTTGTTTCTCTGGGAGTCAGCGGAGCAGACAGGTAATCTGGAAAAGCTGGCCCTCATGCAAAACACCTGGGGACACACAGCACCCAGTTACCATGATGCCACACAGTATTTTTAAAAAATTTGTTATGGAAACTGATCTTCAAAGTCCTGCGCTTATTTACACATTCTGAACTCAGCTGCAAACACTCCCAGGGCAGAAACCGTTTCAATCCCCAGCTCTAAAGGTTTTTAGAAGATACAATTAAGCTATTTTTAAACTGTTCTTAATGTTTCTCTTTTTCCTGTTCCATGAGCTTTTGATGTCTGAAAGACAGCTTGAAGACAGCGAAGCAGCCACAGCAACGTCTTTTTTTTTTCCATTAAGCACTCAAGACCAGAAATTGTCAATCACTATTTTATGCAAATCCTCCTTACACAGGATCCTGAAGAGATGTTGTCTTGACATTATCCCAGTATGCATGCCAGAAGGTATTTCATTTTTTCCAACAAGGACCTGAAAATCACGTAGAAACCTCTCCAGCATATCTTCACCACCGCTTCTTATAACCAGCACTCCAGCGGCCAGGTTACGTGACTCCAGATGGGTCCGACGGGGCTTGTTTTTTTTTTTTTTTTTTTTTTTCTGCCACCTTAGGCTGTCACTGCAGGACAACTCTGAATAGGTTTGTGCTGACCCAGTGCACCTTGTTACCCCTTTGTCACCAAGGTTTGCAGACTCCAGTACTCATCACTGGCCCGTGCAGATTCACCCCTTTGCGGCGAGATCGCGCTTTTGGGAGCTGTGACACGGGGCAGCACAAACCGAGGAGGCACCTCGCATCTGCGCAGCCCCAGCCCCTGGTTAATGCCGCGGGACTTTGGGATGATGCGGTGCCTCCCTCGCAGCATAGGAAAAAGGCAACGCTGTGTCAGAGTACAGAAAGGCAAAAGGGAATTTCATGAAGCCTAGTTAGAAACAAGGGAACGGCTATTCTGGGGCAGGGGCAGAGCCCACCACGCCGTACCATCAAAGCTGCTGCAGGAAAAAAAGCTGCAGCACCAGCACCAGAGCAGAGCTGCTCATCCCAGCCACATAAACCTCTTCATCAGGTCTTTAAGAACGAGACTTTGAAAATCCCTGTCCCAAAGATGACAAACAGCTTAACCAACCTGCCCTGGCTCGGGGAGAGCCAGAGCCGACACAGAGGTTCCAACCCGTTGTTCCAGGGGTGAATCAATATTTAACCAGTCAGCTAGAGCGGCTCCAAAGACCTCGGGAACAATGCATTTTACAAACCTTTCTGGTTAGGGATTCAGACTGACATTTCTTCATGCTGCTGAGGCCCAACGGGGGGGACAAAAGGCAGCAGAGTCAGCGCAAAGGAATTTCTACCTCCACGGATCGCTCCCGTCTTGTCGTTTCACCACTTCCCTGTGCTCCAGGTGGAAAGAAAACACACCGATACTGTAAACACGGTCCCTGAGCCAGCCCAGGTAACCGGGAGATCTGTATTTAACAGGCAAGGCAATTAAGCATGAAGCTGTTCAGCTAATAAACACTTTGTCTGAATACTGGAGTATGATTAAGAACGTTTTCATTAGGTCTTGTTTCTTGCTTTCTGCTAACAAAGCAACAGCAGTGAGTTGTTAGGAAAAGAAAAAAAAAAAAAGAGATAAAAATCACTCTGGGTAAGTTTTGCTGTTCCTTTGGGATCCTCTGCCACTGGATGGGTTTGAATAGCGACGTCCGGGGTGAGCTGAGTATTCAAACGGAGGGTGGTTTGGGTGCGGTAAGAGTTACACAGTTCATTAAGAATAAATTCTGGACCACATGTACAAACGTCAAGATTCTGCATATACCCTGCGCAGGGACACACGTTCCCGCGTGGTTTTGGGACCATTTTGTCACGAAACAACACGATCTTTCTACTGTGCCCCATCCACGTGGACGTGGGTCCGCCGTGGCAGCCCAGGGGCCACCACGGGTCCCCTGGGCCAGCCAGGGCCACCACTCGCATCCCCTGCAAGCCGCTGCTCCTGGGCAGCGAGGAGCAAACCCACCGCGTTTTCATGAATTACACAAGCTGTGTTTTGATTACCGACGAGGCAATTAAGAGGCTCCAGATCCAAGGGAGTCCAGGACAGAAAACAACTGCGGCAGGAGAACCGCCCTCAACCTCAGCCAATGCATTTGCTGCCTGCGCAGGGAGGCATCCAGGCTGGGCTATCTGCACAAGGCAAACACGCCTTAACCCTTTGGCCACCAGAAACGGGGCTCCCCAAACAAGCCCTCGCCCGGGACTCCACGCCGCTCTCTGCCCTCGAAGCTGCAAAACTCATTAGGCTAATGCAATTTCACCGCCTGCCGCGGGGTTTTCCTCCCGGCGAGCGTTTAACTCGCGAGGTGTATTTATAACCAGGAGAAAAACGTAGGAGGAAGCCAGTAGGAACCCGGCATCGACGCAACTTAAAACGGCTTGTTTTGGCCGCGAGACGTATCGCCCGATGCCAGAGCTTAGCTTAGTGTAATGTTAGATGACGTGCACAGAATTCAAAGCCAGAGTCCCGCAGAAACACTATCGCAGAGCGCTGCGTTTCCCCGGGTTTTTTTTTCTCTTACTGTAACCGGCTGCGAGACCCGACATCGCACTGTGCCCGCGGACAGTCCCACGCGTGGACAAACGATCGGACTTGAGCTACAGTCGCAGCAGGAGCTGTAATTTAATTTCCTAACTGTACAGTCATGATAATGACCTCTGTAGAAATGGGTTCTTGCGGTTCTAAACACAAAGAAAACCAACAAGGGGAAAAAAAAGGAAACCCGAGGAGT